AATTCCAACGCGTGGAATTACGGCGCGTGGAGATACGGCGCGTGGAATTAGGGTGCGTGACAATTCCAACGCGTGGCGATCACAGCGCGCCGAAATATGGCGCGTGACAATTTCAACGCGCAGTAATTCCAACGCGTGGCGGTCACCGCGCGTTGAAATATGACGCGTGGAATTACGGCGCGTGGAAATACGGCGCGTGGAATTAGAGTGCGTGACAATTCCAACGCGTGGCGATCACAGCGCGCCGAAATATGGTGCGTGGAATTACAGCGCGTGGAATTACGGTACGTGGAATTACAGCGCGTGGAATTACGGCGCGTGGAATTACGGCGCGTGGAATTACGGCGCGTGGAATTACGATGCGTGGAATTACGGCGCGCGACAATTTCAATGCGCAGTAATTCCAACGCGTGGCGATCACAGCGCGTTGAAATATGGCGCGTGGAAATACGGCGCGTGGAATTACGGTGCGTGACAATTCCAACGCATGGCGATCACAGCGCCATATATATGTTCCTTTAAATTAGCATTGAACTTATATATAACAGCATCTCCAAACTGAATTTCACAGAAATCCGTGAGGACAATTTAATGTAAGTTAAATTCCAAAAGCTCCAGTAACATTTCCCACAGCGAACCATAGAAGAAGGACTATTCGTACACCTTCATCTCAATACAATCGATGATCGGTTCCCGATATGACCTCCATGCTGGCGGACCGATGAAAACGATAGAGCCCGAGGGAAAGCATTCGCGGCAAGCTCGGAAAAAGGGAAATGTTGGCCGTTTACCTTGTCTTCCCTTTTGATCCGAACGTCCTTCGCGCGCGCAAAAATCTTCCACCCGTCAAACCACCATGACGATATCGCTGATTGAAAGCGGTTTGCGGCGACGGATACGCTCGAAAATCCTCTAGAACGAATCGGAACGTTTCGAAATAAAATCCCGTACCCGACCACCGAACTGACGAGGTGCAAAAACCCGATGGAATTTCGTGAAAAGTTACGTGGTTACTTTTCTCTTTTACCTTTTTATCTGAAAAGGAGTTAGAACGCGGCTGGGAGGGGTTTTGGTATTTTAGGTGGTGATTGCTGCGATTAAAGTGTTAAGCCCTGATGAAATGGAGGGAGATTTAGATTGGGAGGGAAATCAATTTTGGTGGAAAATAAGGATGTACTCTTTTGTTGAATGTGGAGATTTAGTGAAAATGAAATGAACTAAATTATATTTTTAGGGTTCTTGTTTAATATACCTTGATTCTATTTAATGCATTTATAAATGTTCAAGTTTCAAAATTACTAAATTTTCAAATTTTCAAATTATCAAATTATTAAATATTGAAATTTCTAGATTTCTATACAATTAATTTGCTAAATTATTAAATTTCTAAATCCAAAAGTTTCTACAACAAATACCTGGATTCCAAAATTCCTAACTTATCTCCAAATTCAAATTTCCAAAATTCCCAAAGTTCTCAAAGTTCTCAAAATTCCCAAAATTCCCTAAATTCCCCAAATTCCCATAATTCCCATAATTCCTATAATTCCTATAATTCCCATAATTCCCAAAATTATAAAAATTTATCAAATTTCCAAAATTCCCAAAATTCCCAAAGTTCTCAAAGTTCTCAAAGTTCTCAAAATTCCCAAAATTCCCTAAATTCCCTAAATTCTCCAAATTCCCATAATTCCCATAATTCCCAAAATTATAAAAATTTACCAAATTTCCAAAATTCCCAAAATTCCCAAAGTTCTCAAAGTTCTAAAAATTCCCTAAGTTCCACAAATGTCCAAAATTCCCAAAATTCCAATAATTCCCATAATTCCTATAATTCCTAAAATTCCTAAAATTCCACAAATTCCCAAAATTCCTCAAATTCCCCCAATTCCTCAGATTCCCAAAATTCACTAATTCCTCAAGTTCCCTAAATTCCCAAAATTCCCCAAATTTCCCAAATCCTCAAATCCCTATATCCCCAAATCCCAATATCCCCAAATCCCAATATCCCCAAATCCCAATATCCCCAAATCCCAATATCCCCAAATCCCAATATCCCCAAATCCCAATATCCCCAAATCCCAATATCCCCAAATCCCAATATCCCCAAATCCCAATCCC